AAAGCCCAACAGACTCAGGGGACTGTTGATTCCTCTACTAAATTAGATAATCAGACTCAACAGACTGATAAATCTGCTACAGATAAAGGTAAAGAGATTTGAGATCTTTAGTACAGCCCAATGGAAAATTTGATTACTTAATTAAATATAGTCCACCAGAACATTTTTCAAATAATCCAAATTTTTCACAAGTCCAAGAAATTCAGTCTAGTAAAGGAAAAGAAAAAACGGTGGTGCAAGATAGTCAAGAATGTTTATTTCTTCAAGAAGTTCAAAATAAGTCAAGATATACTGTTCCGATCTTGTTGTCTTCTTGTTATAATTTTTACACTTCAACATTTCACGTCTTCTTATTAAACAAGAAGTTGTCAATGTGCAATGCGTTTAAGAGTAAAAAATGTTTTTAACATCCTTTCAATTGCTCAAAAGAAGCTATGTGCCGAAATGTTATAAATGTGTAGTCTGTGTAGGTGAGAATGTCAAGAGCAATAGTAAATTTGAAACCGTGGACCCTTCGTTGTATAATTATGTACGCCTGGTGGATATAATAATTATAGAAAAAATTGAACTAAGATGACGAAGATGAATTGCCAATAAATATACATAGAAAACCAGTAGGGCATGGCACGCGCTTCGGCGAGATGCTGGCTATAAAATCAATAATTGTGACGATAGATAAATGATCCATTGTTTCAGCCAAACGCTGCCTCCCTATTTTGAGAAGAACAAAAATATAAAACCAAAGAATTTAAATCGGACTCTTCTTTCTGTAAGTCTAGATAATATTTCCAACTGAATCTCCACCTCTTGCCCAAATCCAATCCACCAACCCAGAGGCTCTAAATCCAAAAAGATTTTTATCTTTTTCTTGCCTTTGGGATTGCACCAGCAAGCAGCAGCCCGTCACCATTTCATGATCTCTGTCCAAGATTTTCTTGCACATATTTAATTATTTGTTCGGTTAAATTTATTAAGAGGATATCTGCATATATCCTCAAAGTTGTGATCTTTATGTACATTAGATATTTTGCAAGAAAAGTTTAATCTTTGAACGCTCAATTGCGAATTATTTTGTGGGGTATGGGTTTTCTTTGTGATACACAGAAAAATGATGGTGGTGTTGGAGGTTTGAGGAGTCTTGTGAGGAGAAAACAGGTGGATTCTGCTCATTCTAAGTCATCATCTGCCTCAGGGAGTGGTCATCATCAATTGGCCAAGGCTTTAACTGTGCCTCATCTTATTGCCATAGGTATAAATTCTCTATTAATTCACTATTTAGAATTGTATATAGATTTTTGCTTTGGTGCTTTGACGACTGTAGCCTTCTAAGATGATGAATTATATGCCTTCAGTTTCTTGATTAAAGTTTCATGATCCTTTTGAATCCTTCATCCATTTCATTCCTGTTTTGTATTTGCCTTTATTTCTGTATTTCATATATGTTTTAAATTGGAAAAATGAGCCATATAGATTATTGGGGTTTAAAGGTCTGCTGGTAACTCGAGAATGCCTTTTGTGAATTGGATGTGTGCTATAAACAAAATTATGTTTAAAAAGTTGATTGGCTGAATTTTGTAGGAGTTGGTTCCACTATTGGTGCTGGAGTTTATATTCTTGTTGGCACGGTTGCTAGGGAGCATTCAGGACCAGCCCTTACTTTTTCTTTTCTAATAGCTGGTATAGCAGCTGCTCTTTCAGCCTTCTGCTATGCTGAGCTAGCAAGTCGTTGCCCATCAGCTGGGAGTGCCTATCATTATTCTTACATATGTGTTGGAGAAGGGTAATATTTTAATTCCATCTTCTTGTGGCTGTGGGAAGATATTTTTGATTGTATAGCATACTATCTTTTACTTCTCAAGAGGGTATTGTCACCTGCTTGATCACATGGAGATTGTGTGAAGTCGGATCGATATAATTGTGGAGCTAAACTTAGTTCTGCTAGTATTGTGGGATTAATTCTTCAAAATTAGAAATTTGGAAAATCTTTTTCTGATTTAATTATTATTGAGAATTAGAAATTATTCCATCAAGAGCAATTAATTGGCATAAAGAAATAAAAACACACAATATTTATAGAGGTTTGTCTCAATATAAAACTATATTCTTTTCTGTCGCTACAGTAATTCACTATGATAAATAGAAGTTTACAAGATAAAATCGTATGCCTATCTTATGTGACGTCTCTTTCTCTCTTTAATGGTGGTAATTCAAAAGCTTAATAATGATTCCCTATTTACAAGACAAATTAGGGCAAAATCGGAAATTTATAAGAATACAAATTCTTTAATCAAAATTTACAAGGAAATAAATTCCTAAACTATCGTTAATGAAATTTTAGTCCGAGGGTTGACTTCTAACACCCACGACGACCTCACCACAGAGGTTGATCTGTGTGTACTGGCTCCACGTGACGGCAATAATTAGGTTTCACAACTTAATAATTATAATTCTTCTAAAAGCTAATTGCAAGCTCCAAATTCGGCGCGAACAAACCTAGCCTTAATGTTTGTTTGCTTGTACAAATGTATGGCTTTGGAGGAACTGTTTATTACTTTTTTTTTTTAATCAAACTTTCAGATATTTTTGGTAATTGCTTCAACTCCTTGGATTGCATGCAGTGTTGCTTGGCTAATTGGTTGGGCGTTAATATTGGAATACACTATTGGAGGCTCTGCAGTTGCTCGTGGCATATCTCCAAATTTGGTGCTGTACATTTCTCTTATATTAATCATTTTATAAGGTTTCTTTGTGTGTGTTTTAGGATTTATCTTTTATTTTTAAGGATACCAATTAGCTAGAATTTGCTTTTCTCCACCTTCCATAATCTCAGTTTTTGTCTTCCTTGCATCTATCCACACTTGGTTCTGCATAGAGATTTTTTTGTTGGCTAACTTCCAAACCCTTTGAGCGTCGATATCCATTTCTGATATCCAGTGTAGTGAATTTAAATATTAGGCTGTCCTTTTCTTCAATTAAGGCTTAGTTTAGCCCTGTTTGCTTGTATATTTAATTGGATTTTGAAATGTCTGATAGTTACTCTATTTATATATGAACTATTTTTCCATCAGGCCTTACTTTTTGGAGGAGCAGATAGTCTCCCTTCTTTTCTGGCTCGCCAGACCATCCCAGGGCTTGGTATTGTGGTGGACCCATGTGCAGCTATTTTGGTATTTTTAGTCACTGGTCTCTTGTGTGTGGGCATCAAGGAGGTATCTTTTTCAACATGTTTGTTTCTTTGGAAAATGTTCCTTGCTCCAACTGTGTCTTAAGCTCTAAATAAATCTTGCAACATATATTCTTCAGAGTACATTTGTTCAAGGAATTGTGACAGTAGCAAATACTTGTGCCATGATCTTTGTCATTATAGCTGGTGGATATTTGGGTTTCAAGACTGGATGGCCCGGCTATGAACTTCCTGTTGGGTAATAGTTCATCATCCTTAGTCATTTGCATTTTACTTCCTCCTGCATCATTCTCGTCAATTTTGCCCCGTTTGGCCCCCATTATTTCAAATTATAATGTTCTCTTTCTTATTTTCAACCACACAATCTTCCATAAAATAATATTATACGTAAATCGAAAACTTTTCTTTTTTTCTCAACCACACATTCTCCAAAAAAAATACTATTCCAAAAATTATAAGTTGAAATAATGGGGGCCAGACGGGGGAAAAATTGTATGCTAGTGAGCATAAGAAATTACTCATGCAGAGACTATTTTCTCGTATAGATATTTTCCATTTGGGGCTGATGGCATGCTTGCTGGAGCTTCGACTGTTTTCTTTGCATACATTGGGTTCGATTCAGTTGCTAGTACTGCAGAAGAGGTTTGTGCCACTGTCTCCCAAACTTTTTTGAGTTTTTAGAGATGTATGGTAATGACTAACAGCATGCTTGGCTAAGCGTTAAAAAAAAAAAAGAAAGTAAAAGATGTTTGGATACTCATACAATATATATTTTTATAGTACTTGAAAAAACAGTTACTTATTTTGAAATTAACTTTCACCTTGATACAAAACAGTAACTTATCTCCTACTTTGACTGATAAAAAATTATTTATTCAAATTCACTTACCTATAAGTAAAATTTCAAGAAATCTTTTTAAGCTTAGGCTATCATATTATGTGATTTTTGAACCTCAAACTTCACCATCTGACAGGTAAAAAATCCTCAACGAGATTTACCCATGGGTATTGGTATTGCACTATCTATATGTTGCACATTGTATATGTTGGTCTCTGCTGTAATTGTTGGTTTGGTGCCGTATTATGCTATGGATCCTGACACTCCCATCTCGTCTGCATTTGCTAGCCACGGAATGAAGTGGGCAGCGTAAGTAGATGTCCAGTTTCATAATTAACCTTATTGAGATCTCCTCTGACTTGAAGACATTTTTTGCGATGATGTCTTTGTATTAATTGTGCTTTTTTACTTGTCCACCCAGATATATAGTTACTGTTGGAGCTTCTACTGCTCTTTGCTCAACATTGATGGGTTCTATCTTACCACAGGTAACAAATTATTGTTAATAGGACCATAAATGGTTTCTCATATCTTTAGACTGACGTGCTAGTGAATAAAATGATGTCAACTGCATTTCTGACTCATGTCTTAGTACTGCCTGTAAAATCATCTAATCTAACTTCTAAATTCGTCTTAAAAAGTTAAAAGAGTTGTTGATGATACTTGATATCAATTTATGAAAATCTAATTTTCTTTTACAAAATATTGTTTTATTCCTTACCTATCTCCACCTACTGGAGTCTCCCTTCATGACTGACACGAATGAAAATTTTCTTGATCTTATATGTACCTCAGCCTCGAATACTTATGGCAATGGCTAGAGATGGATTGCTGCCATCATTTTTTTCTGATGTCAATAAACACACTCAAGTTCCTGTTAAGAGCACTGTAGTTACTGGTTTACTTTCTGGAATCTTGGCATTCTTCATGGATGTTGAACAGTTGGCAGGCATGGTATGTTCATTTTTTTCGTAAAAGCTAAGTATTTAAAGCACCTCATTTCTGATTGCTACTTCTATTTTCGGTTGCAACTATGGGTTTCAACGTGCATTTGCTTCCCAAATTCGTTTCTCAGTTTCCCTTCTCTCTTCCCCAGCATTTGTGAATTAAATTGGTGAGATTTTCAGTGATAATCACAGAACTGTTATAATGAGGAGAAACCACATTGCATTTCATGTTACTTGAATGCTCTGTCTACTTATTGATGTGCTTGTCTCGCTGATGATATAGTTCGAATTGATATTACTCCATCAAATTGTTAGTTAAAAATCAAATAAATTGTGTAGAAATCAGGAATCATTTTCATTTGTGAAGTTCCTTCTTAAGGTGTTGATAGCTTTATTGTACATGCAGGTTAGTGTTGGTACACTAGTTGCCTTTACAGTGGTGGCAATTTCTGTGCTGATACTGAGATATGTTCCTCCGGATGAGGTTCCACTTTCTCCATCTTTCCAGGAAGCAATAGATTCAGTTTCAGTGCGGTATAGTAGCAGCAGTTCTAAGGAGGTTGATGTGGAGAACATAAAAACTGATGATATAACATCAAGTGATAGAATTCCACTTTTAGTTGGCAAGCAAACACCTGTTGGATGCAACTGTAAGTTTATCCAATGAGCGAATACTTTTTTCATTGCTTAATGCTTATCATGCTCCTATGATATGCTTTTCTTCGTTGACTACCCTGTTATCAAAATTTACCTATTTTTTTCAATTGCTTATCATGCAGTTGAGGTGAATGAAGCCAACAGGCGGAAGAAAGCTGGCTGGACAATCATGGTTACATGCATTGGAGTGCTTGTCCTAACTTCTGCAGCTTCAAGTGTGAGCCTTTATAGGTGGGTGGTCTATTTTTATGGTGATTATTTTTGGTTTCACTGCATGAGGAAGAGTGTATTATGTCTTAAATGATGTTTTAAATGTGATGAGAAAGGTCTTCAGAAGTGCAGAATGTTATCTTTAGAACATATATGATGCATAAACAATTTTCCCTACATACCTTTTTTGAACCTATAATCTTTTGTATAAACCATGTTGTGAATCCCAGTTTTTCATTAATTTCCAGCTCCCTTAGATTTACACTGTGTGGAATTGGTGGCGTTCTCCTTTTATCTGGTCTAGTATTGCTCACATGGATTGACCAAGATGATGCAAGACACAACTTTGGGCACTCTGGAGGTATGCTTTCTTGATGCACAAGTAACCATGACTTTGATGAGTATGTTGTAGCCGAATGGCATAAAAGCTCTAATTTCATGAATTTATGACATGTTTGGAAAGTTGGACAATATACTACTCAACAATATTAAGAAACCAAAAAAAATTAGATATTTTTTATTGTAGTATATTCTCCTATCCATTACTGCGTAGCGTACATCTCCTTGTCCATGTTTTTATAAGATGGAGTGGATGGTAATAGACAATTAATATTAGGGAAGAGAAAGAAGCTAAAATCTTGTTCATTGTACTGTTTGGTCATATTTAGTATTGCATGGCCGTTAGTATCTCCCATGATCACAAATTTGATTAACTCTTTACCCCAAGCTGTTGGATTTTGGGTAGTAACTTCCTGCATAGTTGCGTAGGACAGTTAAAAATCAGCTTTACATTACGAATCAGCTCTTCATTTTAGTGGGCACGCACTTGAGTGATAAAAATTTCTAAGAACATGGAGGAAAAATTGTTGGGATATCTTTGAATGATCAGTTGATTCTCTGTTTAGGTTTCATTTGCCCATGGGTTCCACTGCTGCCGATCGCCTGCATTCTCATCAATGTCTACTTATTGATTAATCTGGGGTGAGTATCTAGTCATTTAATCGCCTGTTTGATTAACAGGCGTTGCCTTTGACATTGATACAGTCCTATTTATTAACTTGACGAAATATCTGTTTCCGTGTAAATCTTCTTAGAGTTACTCTTCTCCAATAACTTGTATCAATTGCTGCATTTTTTTTAGCTTAGTGAACTCTCTTGCGTGTTTCTATCTATTTGAAAATGCAGAGGCGCTACTTGGGCCCGTGTATCAATATGGTTAGCCATAGGAGCGGTGGTTTATCTTTTCTATGGCCGGAAGCACAGCTCATTGCGATATGCAGTTTATGTTCCAGCAGCCCATGTTGATGAAATCCATCAAAGCTCGAGAAACTCTCGGTCGTAATCCTATACGACCATTGGGGTTTAAGACTCTCCAAGTTCAGGTTTCTTATACGATGAAGGAACTGATGAAGTAGAACTTTTTAGCCTAAACTTGGGCAGCCAGTTTGTGTGGATAAAGATATCGTCTCGTGTTTCACATCTCAGAAACACTCATAAACTATTCTAATACGTCATCTTTTACGACCTCGAAAGTGGACAAGGAAGAAAGTAAAAATGAAAATTTGTAAATATATTTTTACGTTAGTTAGTTCGTTTGATCTGTCTGTACGATATATAGTACTTACGTAACAATTATGTGTGATCTTGAAGTTGATTGAACTTTTTTAGGAACTCTATTATGAATTTCAGTCATTGTGTTGTTTTTGTTAATATTCCCTTTTATCATTAGAATAACAGTCAATTTATCACATTTGATGTGTTAAATTTCAGTTAAGATTTTTATTTTTATTTTTATTTTTAATTATGAATGGAAAAGTTACTTATTTTGAAAAGGCAAGGGTTATCTTTAACGTAAGGAACTTTCTTTTCTGTTTATATACGTCAAAACTAATCATTTAGAACTTTTTATTTTATTAAATTAGACTGTAGGTCTCCAAACTTCTTAATATGTTGCAATTTTGTCCCCATTAAATTATTTTAGCACATATTATCCGCAACGTTTCTTAATTAAGTAGATTGTTCCTCTTCTTGACTTTTTGAGACGAAAAGACACTTTCACCCTTTAACTTAAATTAAGTGAAAAATCAAAAGAGAATAATGAAATAGGAAGTCAATAATGAAAAATAATCAAAAAACAAAAGGAGTGGAAAAGATGAAATCAAATAACCTTCTACCTCACCCTATATATGATCCCCATCAAAACTTCCACCAACACCTATTGACACAATCAAAGCCTCCATCACCCACATTCGCAATCAAAATTCATACACCACAAGGTCCCCAGCCATAATCACTACCTCTCATCAACTTCTTTCGAGAAATGCAAAATTTTCACTATCATCGATGATGGCAAAAATCAAGAAAGGAATCCTTTGGCTTTTGCTTATTAACTAGGCATTTACCAATGGTTTTACATATGCTGGGTGACTTCCCAGTATTTTGCTGGTGGCGATGAAAATAAGGGAAAATCCTAAATTCTTTTAGTAGTTTTCAAGGTTGGGGTAAAAATGAAAATTGATTTTTTTCCCTTTTTTGTTATGTTTTTGCTTTTTTATTTTTTATTTTTTGATTTTGCTTTTTTAGTTTATATCAGTTAGTTGGTAAAGTTATCTTTTTACACGAAATTTTTTTGGAAAGAAGTCGTCGACAAGGACTGTCTGTGTGAATCAATTAAATCTTGAGGATGATAAGTGCAATTAATAAAATATAATGGGGATGAAATTCTGGTAAACTAGAAAGGTTGGGGACTTGCGTGTAATTTTCCCTTAAACTTGCAATTAACTTTCTCTTCATCAATTTATGCTGTAAGCTAAAACTTAGGTGAAGGCGTTCAGTTGCTATTTTGCACCGAATCACGCGTAGCAGTCGCGCGGCCGCCCCTCCTCCCACCGTAATGGGCGGCGCTTCCAGGTTCGTGACATTACTCGCCCTACCCTTTCCCTCTCTCTTCCACCCTATCCGCCCCTCCTCCTTCCTCCGACGCCGCCTCACCACGTTACCCCTCTGCCCTCTCGGTCTCTCCTCCACCAAATCCAAAACCCACACCCCACAAATTCTTCCCCTCAACTCCACCCAACAACAGCACTTCCACTCCCAACCGGCGAACAATAATACATACACACTCAACTCTTCTCAACACCACAGCCACCCATGGCGAGAGTGGACACATTTTGTCAATACTATCTCTCTCTGCTCCACACCAAATGAGCAGGGAGTTACTGTACCTATGAACCATGAAATCCTTCCTGATGATGCTTTTGTTGTGTATGAGGAATTGCCTGAGGATTTTGTCCGTGCCGCCGCCTCCTGCTTGGCTTTCGCTAGGGACCGTCCCAATTTTCTTGGGTTTGTTTTTCTTGTATTCTATCTCCAAAAAATTCAAAATTTGAACCCTTAAACAGTTTACAAGAGTTTTAATTTTTTCTTTGTGGATGATGGATCAGAGTTGTGATTTTTCAGTGGTGTAGTACTATGTGCCTGAAGGTTGTAATCATTGTCAAGCCAACCTTCTCTTATGTATAATCCACAAATATCATTTCTGTAAATTAAGTTGAATATTGATAGTGGCAGAGCTTCTTTTTCTCTCTTTATTTGTTTGGTAGCAATTATCAAAGCGTGGAGTGCTACAAAGTGCTGTATCGTGTGCTTAAAATTGTACCTTTCTTTAGCAGAATGATGTAAACTTCTTTGGGTGTGATCCTTAAATTAGGTTGATTTATTGATTAAATGTAGATTGCTTTCGAGAAGGGAGATTGAGGTGGTTGTATCAAACGGGACACCATATCTGTTCGAGAGTGCTCTTGACACTGCAAGGAGAATGAGGGAATTTTTGGGAACCGATGAAGGCAATGTAAGCCAATTGATACTGTTGTTTTCTATTCAAACTTAGATTCTTGAATTTGATTGATATGCTCTCTCCAAGTTACATGCAGCATATAGTGTTAGACTGTCAGAGTTTGTTTAGGAAAAAAAACCCACCTTTCTTGTTTTTGCAGGGAAATGTAATGCAAAACAATGACTGCTTGAAGGATTGATTAGATCATTTTTGGTTAAGCCTAAAAGTTTACTTATAAGTAAATTTGAAGTTTTAAAATATATATAATTTATTGCGGGCCAAAGTTGGAAGTAAGTTACTTATTTGAAAGTTAGGTAAAAATTACTTATTTTTTTAGTTAAAAGAAATAAAAGTAACATATTTAAACATGCTTAGAACAAAATGCAACTTTTATTTTTTTGTTCTGAGCTTAGCCAAATACGCTTGTTTGTCTATTTGGTGCAAAGTCCAAGCACCTGCCAATTAGCTATTGGGCCATTGTTTGGTTTTCTTTGTAGCAGTCGTGGGGTTATAAATTATATATTGTGCATTTTGGTTATCATGATTTTTTACATTAACGTCCCTGTATGCTGAGAGGGAAGAGTTGTCTTTTCTAATAAAATTTTTAATTACATTTTTTTTGGGTCAATATCATGGGCTTCATAGGGGATTTGAGATTGCATGTTAAGACTAGCCGAGGGGAAATCAAATATGTGATAAGAAATTGAAGAATATACTGAGATATGATTATTGCTTTGTATGGAGTATTCTGGATTGTGACACGGTAAATATAAATCAATTTTTGAATTTGATTTAGGATCTAGTTGTGGATGCAACTTCCAAAACCTTCCAGAATTGACGATGTTTATTGTTTTGAAAAACTTTAGTTCTTGGCTTAATGTACAATTGATCATTAATTTCACATAGTATAAGGCCTAAAATGAAAGTAACAATCTAGATGAACACTAAAAAGATGCAGTAACTAGCTCAAACTCGATGAGTTCTGCTGATGGAGACAAGTGCCAAAGAGATAGCACAAATAACATTCTTAAAAGAAAAAAAGAAAAATGCAACATATTAAATTTATTTATTTTTTTGGTAGCACTCATATTTATTCAGTTTGTTCTCTTTTGATATCAATTGCAACTGTATTTTTTATTTTATTATTTTTTTTTCTGAACTTTAGGTCTTGGGATTTGATAAAGCAAGCATGGTTGATCTAATGAAGTACATACTAAGTTATGCTAGCAATCCGTCTCTTTCTTCCGAAAGAAATGGCCTCTACAGTAAGGAACTTGTGGAATTGTCTGTTCGAAATCTGTTGCAAGAGCTGGGTAAGTTGAGCAGTGGACCTCCAAAAATGAACATACCTGCTTCTGAAGAGCAGTTCTCAGGTGGCTATGGACAAACTTCAGGACCTATTAGACAAAATATTGAAATGAAGAGAGGCGACTGGATATGTCCAAAGTATGTATATTGTATGTTGCATTCACCAATTCCTTTGGTTACTTTTCATCTGTGCAGTATTGTTTGGGCCATTTTACAGGCACTGAATGTATATGACTGTGTAGAGATGGGGAAGAATTTGTGGCAATTCTCTTATGTTAATTGATTGCCATTTGAAGGAAGTTGACTTGAAAAAGGAATAGAAAGAAAAAATTTTCTATTCGAAGCTGTCTAACTCCCCTACTTCTACACAACCAAAAGAAAAAAGGGGAAGAAGATGCCCGCGGCGGGGTTGGTGAGTATTTGTAAAAGGAAAATCAGTAAACCTTTTCCCGGAATTTTGTGATTCCTGCCCTTGGTTTAAAAAAATAAAAATGGAAGAACTTTGATTTGCCTCTGTTATGACTTATGAATTTGAATTCAAACCTTCAAGGTTCCTAAATGTAGTTGAAAGTATTGGAAGACATCTTCTCGTATTCATGTCATGGTCCACTTAGTGCCAAATTCCTGTTCATAGTATCATGCTTAATCTTGTATTTTCAAGAATTCCCATTAGAATTATAGCAACAGAACATTTCCTCAATTTATTTAACTATGATATGTATTATACAGGTGCAGTTTTATGAACTTTGCAAGAAATGTCAAATGTCTTGAGTGTGAGGGACCCAGGCCAACAAGACAGCTGACTGGTGTGGAATGGAATTGCCCTCAGTAAGAGCATTCCCTTGTATTTTATTATACTTAAATGCTAACTAAAAGAACTTTTGTGTAAATATTATTGTGGTATGGCAAATTTTTACTTCCAATTTTACTGCAGATGTGATTTCTTCAACTATGGGAGGAATTTGGTTTGCTTAAGATGCGACTGTAGACGACCTGGTGTGGCATCGTCCTACACTGGTGATGCCAGATTGGGATCTGGGGGGAATGGGGATTTCACACACAAAATCAACACAGGTAGCCGGTTGGCAGAGAATGAAGAGAAAGCACAAAGGTGGTTTAGTAAAATTTCCCAGATGGGCAATGTCTCTGATATAAATAATGCAGCTACTGATAAAGACTTTCCCGAGATCGTGCCATTGAGGAAAGGAGAAAATCGGTTTGTTGTTAGCACTAGGAAGACACCCTTGGAGAGGAGGCTGGCCAACTATCGAAATCAAACGATGGAAAAGGGGTATACTGAAGGTACAAACAAGACCCTTGATCCATCAGTAGATCGTAGTTTGGACCAGACTCTTGGTCACTCGTCTAGCATTTCTGGGAGGGAGGACGAAGGCATCATTTCTGAACAAGGTGAGAGAACAGCTCTCTCTTGTCAGACTTTTCAGTCGGACTCTTCAGGTTATCGACATTCCCAGGGAAGAAATTCCAAGTACGTTCCATTTGTTCCATTACCTCCGGACATGTTTTCTAAGGATCAAAATTCGAAGATGGAGGATGGGAAAAAAGTTGGGATGGAAAGCTATGAATCGGACTCATCAGAGGTCAGTAATCAAAGTAGTTCAACTGTAGGCAGCGAGTCCCAGCACTCAGGAGAGAATTTTCAGTTCTCGGAAAATTTAGCCAATGAGACTGCTAGCCAGGAGAAAGAGAGAGAACAAGCTCAAAAGTCAGAAAGATGGTTTAAGAGGGTGGCTGAGTTACATGATTCCAAAGATCTACCTGCTGCAATTTCGGACGAGGATTTTCCTGAGATTATGCCAATGCGTAAGGGAGAAAACCGATTTGTCGTTAGCAAGAAAAAAAACCGTTCTTTGACTTCACCGGCATACAGAAGACAGGTGGCGATGGATCAGGCAAATAATACTAATTTTGTACCTTTTGTTCCATTCCCTCCTGGCTACTTTGCTAGGAAGGACACGCAGCAGCTGAATGGTGCAGATTCATCTTCAAATCCTACCAGTGAATCTTCTTCCAATTCCACAACAGCTGAGATCTTTTCTGAGAAGTTGGACGAGCCAAGATATAGAACATCCAACACGAATACCGTATCGACGAAAGACAACCAACTGTCGAGCTCTGGTAATTCCCAACTTTCTTGTGATTATGTAACTCCACCCAGTGAAAACCCTAAACCAGACTCCTTCACTCCCCGGACTACCATGAATGATAATCAGACAGATAAATATTCAGGGAAAGGGGATTCCCCTCGGTTTCCCCATTCGGGGTTGGTGGCAGGTTCTATAAAACCATCCGAAAATCAGCAAGTTCAAAGTGGTTGGACGGGTAAAAGCTTGGAGGGATCAGCTGTGAAGGAACCCGACCCTTTGGACATGTCGGAAGAGGCCAAAGCCGAGAGGTGGTTCAGACGTGTGGCACAGATAAAAGACATTTCCGAGCTGAGCCAGATCCCTGATGAAGACTTCCCATCAATAATGCCAATGCGGAAAGGGGTAAATAGATTCGTTGTAAGCAAGAGGAAGACGCCACTCGAGAGGAGGCTGACATCTCAGCAGTATCGAAGAAATCTTCCAATTGTGAGTTATGATCCTCCTACAAACAAGGAAAACAACAATAATTAAAGAAAAAACAACTCGTACTTTCTTCTTTCTCTTTTGATTTTGAGGTATTATATATTCTCAAGTACAAGACTTGGCATTTTCTCAGCATGCAATTCCAAAATTAGTTTGTTTACATTTCTGAACTAGTTTTATTTAGGTTGCGTCTTGTATAACATCGTACACAGAAGTCACCATTGGAAGTTATTAAAATAGAAAATAAGAACTATATTTTCTTCTTCTTGTTTATGAATTTCAGCTTTATGGGGGGTCGTTTTGTTAATCATCACACAACCATGATTCATCAAACTATCAATTCCTAATGATATGTAGGTGAAGAGAGATTTTCTGCATTTACTGATGTTCATATTTTTGTTAACAATGAAGAAATGCAAGGGAACTACTGATGAATTGTTCAAGATTGCTGCTGAAGCTTTTTATCTTTTGGGATAAGTCGACCACGTTCTGTGGCGCGCATTATTAAAATTGAAAGAAAAGCAGTACAAGGAGATTGGTTCTTGGCCTTTGACCAAAAATAAAATAATAATAATAAAAATAATAATTATCCCGCTGAGGATGTATCCATCTTCTAGTAATCCTATCCGTCACGAGGTATTTGGTAGACTCATTTTCATATTCAATATCGTTGTTGATATGTAATTTTGCAAAGTTATCATTTCAATTCATTTAAACTATGTCGTCATAGTCAACATTCGGATAGAATATGCTATTTATCTTGAACTGATAACTCTTGATGGTCATCCTTAAAGCTTTTGTACTAGATTCGCTCAATGCATTTGGCGGGCTAGTTTCCCTGTTAATACCGTGTAATCACCTAGGCTACACATCCATTTCCTTCCTCACCTATTTCCATCCCCTTAACTCTTCAAGAGATTACTCTCAAAGAGTCAAAAAGTTTGAAATTTCAAGAAATTCGACTTTTTAAAATCTTTTAAAGAATAGTCTTATCTTCTTCTTCTATTTTTTTTTTTTTCCTTTCTTTTTTTAAAGATGTGTTTGGTTTTAAACACATATGCGCATTACGCACACTCCACATACACAATGTTAATGTGCCTCGAATTTTGCCGTATATTAGGGTTAGGTGTCAGTAAACCTATTGAATTATTCTTCCGACTTTAAGTCCTTACGGCCAAAATTTGAATGTGAAAAAGAACTAAGATTAGACTCCACCGAATTATTTTATTAACTTCTATAGTTAAGTTTTAGGTCATATTTGCTTGTGGTGACGGCCAGTGCGTCTTTATTATTTGACAATCTCTCTCAAGTACTATTATTTGCATGCACAAAATAATACATGAAGCACAACCAAACACCATTCATTGTTCGCATAAACCACAGCGAAACATTTCTATTCGCTATCGAAATCTATGCTGCTTGTTAAGTGATATAAAACCTACATTTAACATCGCGGTTGCAAACTGATCTTAAGGCCCCGTTTGGTATACATTAATGTGAAAATGAGAATGAAAAATATAGTCCTTATGGGCACATACAAGAGATAGAAAGTCAAATATGGTGACTTGATGTGATGGACAACGGCCATATTTTTCATTTTAATGGACAAATAATGGGAAATAAACGGGGGCTAAAATTGGCCAAATAGTATGAAAGCAATAATAGCTTATCAAGAACAAAATAAATATTTAGCATCTAAAATAGGATCATAGAAGTTTAAGTTTCATAAAATAAGTTTATGCCCTTATTTGATTTCCATTCTTTTAAAAAAATACATTCTTAAACAGTGTTTCGATATCATTTCAACCACGCATTTTTCAATAAAATAATATTACTTGCAAATTCAAAACTTTTCCTTATTTTTTTAACCACACATTTCACACCAATATACTATTCAAAAATGCATTCTTGTAAAAAGAATGGGGCTCAAACAAGGGCGTCGTCCTACCTTAAAAAGTCTTATCCTTAATGAAGGAGTAATAAAGATTACGCAAGTTTAAAGGATATAATATAAATTCGGAAAACTTAAAAATAAAATACAAGAAAATCCTTGGAATCTCTCTTTTGATCTTCTTCTTCGCCAATTTTTCTTTTATTGTGTTTTTCTCCTCTTCTTGAGTCTCTAAAAAATGTCTAGATTATATTCCTCATCTATGTTGGTTTATTGGTCATAAACTAATTAATATGTCATTGATTCAAAAAGAGTTATTTTATAATCTATCTTAATATATTTTAAAATTGATAAATAGACCCATCAGGAATTATCTCTTTTATTTTGTATACTTTGATTTCTTTGTCAAGTTGAATGAATATTAATAATTTCATATATACTTAAAATTATTATTATTTTTTTATACTAGCTATTTGACGATCCGTCTTATCTAATCTTTCTTATAAAATATTAAAAAAAAAAAAAATAAGTAATTTGATTCGTCTCAAGCTATTTCTTTTAGTTTGTGCATTGTATTGGTTTGTTGTTGAACAACTAAAATAAATCTTATATCTTGTATTATTTATCAGCCAATGTAGTATTTTGTAGCCATTTAAAGATGAATGCAACACGATGATCATAGTGTTTTTGAATCACTTTTTGTTGCAAAATAATATCATTTTTTTACACAGCGATGTGTTGCCAATCGATGGCATCATTTTGTATTAGTTTATCGATAAATTTTTTCTAGCTTTCAACAATTTGTCAAATTATTCGCATTCTATGGATTTAGTTCATAAATGTAATCGATCTTTTGGTATGTTAAGGTATTAAAACGTTAACAATATTAAAAAAAATGAAATTAATGATATGATCATTATAGTTCTTACTAAGAGACTTGTGAAACTGGTCACATAGGTGACGTGATTAAATACATATACATAGATTATTCGAAGAATTTATAATACAATAATCCGAATTAATTTAATCTAAGTAATGTTTAAACTTAAAAGTGGAACTTTACAAAATTTATACTCTTAAATTTTTTTTTACCATTCTCCTTATTTTATATTCTGATTATAATTAAGCAAACACGGAAAAGGCAAAACTTGTTCCGGATTCCACGACGTGGTGCAATTTATATCTCACATTCGTTCCATTTTCTTTACAAACATCTTGCTTATTCTGACCCATTTCTGAATTCTCTCACACAGAAGGTGATGGAAATGCCAAGAATCTCTTCGGTTTTTTCGACTATATGGCTCCAAAAAATTGCAGAGTTCTTCATTTCCATCACGAGTGCCATCATCTTCTTTTTCCTTGATTTCTTGGATTTTGTCATGTGCATTTTCTTCAGATTTTTGGATGAATTCTTGGAAGGAAAACCCTCTTCATGTTACTGCAAAGTGGAGCAAGACAAAAGGGCAGAAATTCTTGAAATTGATGAAGAGAGTGAGTTGTCTGAGACTTTTCATGGGAGGAAAAATGTTTTCAGGGAAATGGGATTCCTCAGAATTCCAAGAATGCGGAAAGATGATGGAAAATTTTGTGCGGAGAAGAGGAATAGCTGGTCGGACTGTGGGTGTGAATCTTGTGTTTCTTGGATGAACAATGGTAGTAATTTGAAGCTTCACGTTGTTGTGAAAGAACCAGAAAGAGGTATAAAATATTGCCAGAATTTTTGTCAATTCCTTCCCACCCAATAAAATATGGGTCTTCGCTTTACTTTTAGGCCAGATTTTGGAATTAAATTTTGTAATATGTTCGGGTTAAATCTTTATTTATTTAAATCACGTCTTTGCCAGAAACGTCTCATATGCAATCAAGATTCATGTTTTCGTTTAAAGGCTAATACGCGAACAGTTTTCATATAGTGTAGGCGGTGTCAAGACTTAGAACTCGAGGGTTTTTGCCCAATATCACGATGAACTACCGTATCCAAAAGTTTAAGTACTAATTGAGAGATGGCAGCCTTATTTATTTAAATTTTGTTTTCAAACTTAATTTACATAAATTTGACATTTTAACTCAAAAGACTTTCTATGCAGTAGACTTTGCTGGGAACTTTTATGTAATGTCAAAAAAAACTTCTGACGATGGCTGTTTCAGGATGAAATGACAGACTTCATTAAAATCCTCACCCCAGATTTTATAATAAGTGCTTATAATCTTTGTATCCTACTTGCTTTGGACATTATAAACAAATTGTGGTATGCATATATTTTTAGCTTCAAAATTTCAGGCTCATTTTTAACTGTTTGTGTTTTCTTGTATCTGTGGCCTGCTATTTATTTGTTCTTTTTTCTCTGTATTGCTGTCTTACTTTATTCTGTGGCCTGCTATTTATTTATTCTTTGTCCTTTTTTTTTTTTTCTCTGTATTGCTGTCTTACTTTATAGTTGGAGCACGGTTTGAAAGCTTGGTTTATTTCATATTGGTTGAGCACGAGTTTGTAATCTGTTGCAAACCGAAATGATAGTTTTATTGAAAGCAAGTTACACGTTGATGAAATCAAGTCTGATATCTAGGATGCCAAGAGGTATTAAATGAATAGATCAAAATAAGATTTCGATTGGGCTCCTTCACTGCATAGATTCACAAGGGATTAAAACAAGAAGATTTTGCTGTCCGAACCAATTGAGCATCCAGATTTAGGCAAGTAACTATGTTACAACCACAGTAATTGTCTAAAATCTGTGTCAGCCCCATAGTCTATCTGTTGTTTTATAATGATCTGCTTGAGTCCATTGCAAAGTTGATGGCTTTAGTGTCACGCAATTTTTTCCCTCCATTTCAAGCTATATTCACTTATCACATGAAATCTGAATGTTTGGCAGCCAGATTGGAGCACTATCCCGAAGAAAAAGCAATCGAAAATGTAATATTTATACATGGCTTCTTGTCTTCTTCCTCTTTTTGGACAGAGACGGTGTTTACTAATCTTTCTGAGCATACAAAGCAAAACTACAGGTTGTTTGCCATAGACCTATTGGGATTCGGGAAAAGTCCAAAACCAAGAGACTGTATGTATACCTTAAGGGATCACCTACAGATGATTGAGAAATCAGTTATCGACCCATTTCAGTTGAATTCTTTCCATGTGGTTGCGCACTCCATGGGTTGTGTGATTGCAGTTGCGCTAGCTGCAAAATACTCAGAATCTGTGAAGTCAATCACTTTGGTGGCACCGGTTAGTATACTTATGCAGATGGTTGTGCATCTGGATCTTACGATTACTTCCATCGATTCTTTTAAATCACTGGTCAATCACTTTTAACAAAGTGACCAAGTTGTAACAAAATTTAAGTTCAATAACCAACTTTGAAACAAAATGAAGTTTAATGAACAACAAGAAATTTCAGTGGGAGTTTTGTGACATTGTTGTATTCGATGCGAAGTTAGCATACCTTTCATAACTTGTTGGTTTTCCTTATGAAGTATTCGTAGTTTGTTTGTGTTACTTATACCTTCGTGTGATTTTACAATGTTCAGCCTTATTTTTCGTCTTCAAAAGAGGATGCTAGTCTAGCTGCACTTAGACAACTTGCCGCAAGACGAATATGGCCACCATTACTGTTCGGTTCGGCTCTTATGTCTTGGTACGAGCATTTAGGTCGATGTGTGTGTTTCCTTTTTTGCCGGAACCATAAGACATGGGAACAGATTCTTAAGCTACTCACTCGAAGAAGGTAACTACTGTAGGTTTTTCATTTTCATTTTTTTCTTTTTACTATTATTTCTTTTCCTAACACATTTTCGACACAAAATATGATTTCTTTTGTATTCGCATAGGGATCTACCATTTAAAGTCGTAGACTTTACGCGACATACTCATCATTCTGCATGGCATACAATGCATAACATTATATGTGGTGGAGCGAAATTACTCGACAAGTATTTGGATACTTTGAAGAGTTCCGGAGTTAAAATCCATATTGTCCAAGGTAACAAGGACCAGGTTGTCCCTCTAGAATGCAGTTACAACATGAAGATGAGGGCTCCATATGCAGAACTTAGTATTATACCAAATGCTGATCATAATACTGTAATTTTTGGTAGAGAAGAGTTCACTAGAAATTTAGAGAAGTTTTTGGAATCCACTGATAACAGGATAGCAGATTGATCCACTCCCAGCTACAGATTTATGCTTATATATTTGAATTTTGTCATCAACATACTTCCTAAAATTGTAGGTCTTATTTTCATTTTATTTATTATTATTTATTTTTATTTTTTTGTAGAAAATATCAAATCCAAATAATAATATTGAAAAAGCATTATATCAATGGGAAAATTTAAAATAAAAAATTTAGATATTGAATTTCAGTTACACCTTCACCTTGTGTATTAGTAACCAACCCTCCCTACACCGCAGGAGATTTTCAGGAGAATAAAATATCTTTATTTTTCGTCTATTTATTTATTTTTCAAAATAAAATTTAATTTGAAAACATAAAAATACGAGTTGGGACGGGAAGTAACATTTCCTAGCCCCCGCCATATAAGGCGGGCTTTGGGCATTTTATCATCACCACGAAGATTGAAGTATATTTTTACACTCTTTAATAGCACTTGCATTCAATCTAGGAAAATTCTACTTGTACATAATGGTGTCCATAATGTGATGTGGCAATCATTCGGTTATTGATGTGCAAGTGCGAAATTTGAATTAAAGGTTGAATCCAGTGCCACGTGTAATTATAGACACCATTATGTAGACAATTATTTATATTTAGCACTTCCCTTCAGTTTATGACTTTTGCCAATATATGGGCTCCACGTAGAAACTCTGGTTTTTTCCTCGTTAATAAGCAAAGGAAAATTAAAATTTTGTGTATTATTATGTGCAATAACACATACACTAAGTTTTTTATTCATGGATCTTCAAGTTGTAATTTCATGTTATTTGAAAATTATGACCCACTAAACTTATTAAAAAAGTCGTGTGCCGTACATTGTGGATATAACATTTTCAAATATATATCTTTTTATAAGTTATTTACATTATAGTAATTTTTTCTTTAACAAAAACAGTTATTTATAAGTATTTTAAATATCAAATTACAAAAGGATATTATGATACTTTTTTGAAATATTTAGTAATATGTTAGCTTAAAAATTCTATTATATTACATGTTTTGTCATCTAATAATTTATTTTAGGAAAAATGCCATAACATAGAAAACAAGGGGCAGCAGCATGTAATGGGAGGGGCCTAGGGGAAGTGGTGTTAGGTGGGTGAGGAAATTGATGTCCTACTACTAAAACTTAAACTAGTCTCTTCCTTCACCAATTTCAGTTGCCATCAATAAGCCAATTGACAATTTTTTATTTTATTATTATTATTTTTTTCTATTTCTGCATCCCTATTTCTTAACTCTGCAAAAGGAGTAGATACAGTACACAGATTTATTTGACTACTTCTTTGGATTTCTCTTCTTTGGTCAGGTTTGGTATCCTTGAGAAAAATTAAATAATTATTTTGCATTTGAAATTTTATCAAGAACCAACGCAATTCTTCATAAGATTCAAATGCTACCCTTTTGAGCATTCTTTATTTTCAATAGAATTCTTATTAAATTTGAGTTTTTATTTTTCAAAAATTAGTTCTTGTCTTGCATTATGGACTTCTTGCAAACATCTGAAGGCCAATTATATGTGGGTGTTGCTGTTGGTCTTGTTGCTGTCGGATCTGCTGCATACTTCTTATTTTCCTCCAAGAAACCCAAAGGTTTGATCAATTACTGCGATCTTTTGTATTAACACAGAGATATGAAACGCCCATTTGAATATATTATGTTTCTGTACGTTTAGGAATATAGTAGCAGTAATGAACGTTATTTTGTTCTTGTCTTCTCGATGTGTCTTATGACTTGTATGGAGTTTACGGGCAGTCTTTTTATGTGGGTAGATTACGCTACCGGGGATAAATCAATATGTTTGGTTGGATGGAGAATGAGAAGCAAAAATATTGTATACACAAACAATTGACGTTCTTAGATAAATTACTTACTTTATGGTTTATGGGTTTTTTCTGTTGTTAATTTTTATTTGCTTATAGTAGTTTCATATGCAGTTTCTGATTTGGATAGATATATTATTTTGCATAAAGATTGAATCTTTAAAGTTCAATTGTTTTATGGAGAATCTAAACCTTTGTTTCATGGAATGTGTCTACTTGACAGCGTGCTTGGATCCCGAGAATTTTAAGGAGTTTAAGCTTGTGAAGAAAACGCAACTCAGCCATAATGTGGCAAAATTCAGATTTGAACTTCCTACACCCACATCTGTGTTGGGACTTCCTATTGGACAGCACATTAGTTGCAGGTTCACTTAAATTACTTGGCCTTTTGCTCATTACTTTTTCGTTTCAGTCCATATATAGTACTTAGGAAATTAGGTTCTGTATTTAATGAATATCGTCTAATTGCATATGCATAATGTATAGGGGTAAAGATAGTCAAGGTGAAGAGGTCATTAAACCATACACTCCAACTACCTTGGATTCTGATGTTGGATACTTTGAGTTAGTTATAAAGGTAAGTATTTGAAAGTTTCTTTTGGCATCATGTGAAGAGCTAGTGATGTATTCTGTCTCTTTGTCTCATTTGGTTCATTGAATGATATGGAATTTGCTTATTTTTAGATGTATCCACAAGGAAGAATGTCCCATCATTTCCGAGAGATGCGTGTAGGTGATTATCTGTCTGTTAAAGGACCAAAGGTACTTTCTCCATGTTTTGAGTGTCTTATAATACCTTTTTTTCCGAATTTCATCAATAGGAGCTATTAGGTTCTGAGGTTCATGAAAGCCTATGTCTATATCAACATGTTGAATAGAGGATACATGATATAATCAAGGTTGGGTTCTTTTCTGTCAGCTTTTCTATACCCAATTTGGTTTCATTTTATTTTTTATTTTATTTTTTTGGCATGAAGGCGTTATTTAGTTAGTAGTTACATAACCTGAAATAAAAGGTTTGTATTTAAAAAGCTAAATCTTGTGCAATCTCAGATACTAGGCACTTTTATCTTGAAAATTAAATTTCTAATCTATAAAACTGGATGCACCGCTTTGTTTCTTTTTAAGAGTAGAGTATAATGAAATAACATGTAGTGCAGCAATCTGCACACTAACCTGCAACATTTGATTTAACAAGTTTGCACGTTTTCTTTCAAATATGACAGTTTTCAATAATCCATTCTGAGCTATATTAGTATTATCATCAATCCGCTCTTACTAAAATAAATCTCTACTCATTAGCCTCTGTGAAGTTGTAAGGTCAAAAAAAACTAATAATAATAATCAAGAGATGCTAAGCTTATCGAGCTCAATCTTTAACCATGACAGCATCAGTAGTTAAATCTGAGGTGCACTGATATCATGATTAAATTACTCAAAAGAAAACAGATCTCTAGATATTAGCCTCTCTGATCTAGATATGCTAAGCTCATCAGCTCAGTTTTCTACTTCTCTTGCTCCCTAATCAGTGGTTTGCAGGGATCATTTATCCGTGCCTGAATTGATGCCTTCATGAATTCTGTTCGTTGAACTAGAACGTGTTTAGCTAAGCTTCAAAATGATTAATAATATACGTTTAAGTAACTTCTTGTTTCCAAACAAGTTTCAATATGTTAATTTTTTTCCTTACTTTTTAAGTTTTGAGTGAAAAGGTTACTAATTTTGAAAGTAATTCTTACCTTCTTTCCAATTAACTTGATTCCGATTGACTTCCTCCTTGCCTTAGGCCCGTAGTTGCTGCTATAATTAGTTCAATATATTCCCAATCATGCTCTTTTTCTTTTACTCAAATTGCATTACCTTGGAAAGATTTTTTATGCATAACGTATAATATTTCTCCTGCTTGAAAGCTGCCCTTATACAGTAACTTTTTTTTTACTAGGGTCGCTTTAAGTATCAACCTGGCCAAGTGAGAGCATTTGGAATGCTTGCTGGAGGCTCTGGCATTACGCCAATGTTCCAGGTCTACATGGAACCATCTCTTTAATACCTCTTTTTTCAATCAAAAGGCTCTTTTACGTCAACAGATCTCATTGCGTCCTTCTCGTTCCACATCAGGTCGCTAGAGCTATTCTTGAGATCCCAATTGACAAAACAAAGGTGCATCTGATATATGCTAACGTTACATTTGAGGACATACTTCTAAAGGTAACTTCTAATCTTTCTTCGGGTCTACGTATTCCTTTGAATGCTGTACTCTTCCCAATTTCACCGTTAACGGAATTTAGCAAGATTTAGTTTTCTGTTTGAAAGGGAATGCAAGAATATGCCAAAAATATCTGTTATATTTATGTATGATTGCAGGAAGAATTGGATAGCCTTGCAAATAATTACCCTGGTCAATTTAAGATTTACTATGTACTGAATCAGGTTAGTTCCTTTTTTTTTTTTGCATCTTTATTTCATTTATTTCGGCACCTATAAAAAAAAAAAAAAATTCTTTCAGCATATATTTATATATTTATTTGTCTAAATTTAAGCCTTAAGGGAATTGTATCAGCCACACTTGTCAATGGTTTCACTCACTTGAATTATATTACCTCTTTCTTCTTTTTCTTTCAAAAGAATTCATGTAACCGACCCCAAATTTATTGGGAAACAAGGCTTAAGTTGTTCTTGTTATCAAAAGAAAGTTAAAGCACAAAAAAACTTATGAGGACGTCTTCTAGTCGCAACAAGGAAAACTGTGAAAGTTTAAGAGAATCAAAATCTCGAAAATGAAAGATGAAATGCAATATCACGCATTTACTTATCTTGTGCCCCACGAAAAGTAATCCGGGATTAAGATTCTTTCCGCATTCTAAAGGTGGTAACAAGGCATTGACATGATTTTGCTTGTAATTAGACTTGACAAGTTTCATTACCTTGATGATCCTCATTTTTAATTCTCTGTAGCCTCCTGAGGTGTGGAATGGTGGTGTCGGGTTCGTTTCCAAGGAAATGATTCAAGCTCACTGCCCTGCACCGGCGTCTGATATTCAGGTTAGGAAATATAGCCGTGCAATCCTTTGCCTGTTGTGAGCGTTATTAAAATCTTTTTATAACTTTCTTGCGTTTATTAGTATCTAAAATGATGTATAAACTCGATGAACTCAATGAACTTTTTGTTTTGTGCAGATATTGAGATGCGGACCTCCTCCTATGAACAAGGCCATGGCTGCTCATTTAGAAGCTCTTGGATATACCTCAGAGATGCAATTCCAATTTTAATCCTCGCATACGAGATTTTGGTCTTTATTTGGTCGTGACTTGATATCATTCTTGGGGTTTTTTAGTGTAACTCCCTTGCGAATAAATCGTAGGCCATATTTCTTTTAATTGAATAACAGGTTTTCCCTGAGCTTAGTTTGCCTACACTTATGTGTATGTTTGACAAGGCTTTCGAAAAATCAAAAGCTGCTGCTTATACTACGAAGCTATTTTGAATATCTTTGAATAATTTTCTGAATTTGTTTTGTTTGGTTAGATGAGTTTTTTAGAGAAAATTAACCTAAAATAATTTCTTCATGAAACCTTTGTACAAGAAACATAAACCTGTCAAATAGACCTATGAGCATTATCTCTACACACCTCCAACATTCCATCATGAAGAAGAAAGAGCTAGAGCCCTACTTTTGATTATGTATCATGCTAATTTTCAAACACCTCTGTGTTAAATGTGATACTGTCTCTTACATTTTTCACGAAGGGAACCAAGTTATCAACTCACTCACATTTGAGGAATGAGATCAACGTCATTATCAAGAGTATGGTCCTCTTGACCTTCCACAACAACTTCAAGCTCTTGTACAAATAGATAGATATGATTTTCCTAGCATTAGAGAACATTAGTTCATTTTATATTTGCTTGCTTTGTATTAGTACTACTTTTCCTCTTATTACATCTCTTCGAATGTTGCACCTTATTGCTTTTTAAATGTCATGTTTACGCCCCCTTTCTTTTTGTTTCCTTGAACTTTGTATTTATACTAGTTTTCCACCTGTGCAATGCACGAGCTATGTCATTTTTTAGATAAATTAAGTAATTAACGTGTCAAAATATCTATTCAGTTCTCTCAATAAATCTACAAATTTGATTAATTGTTTAAAATGATAAATAGAAATGTAATATTCATATATGACACACTTTTGACATTAAAAAAAATTAAAAGTTTATTAGGAAATTTTCTAAATGACGTCAAAAAATTTATTAGATTATTTAAAAAATTATTGATCGAGAGGAAGAAGTAACAATAAGAAATCTTTTTTTAAAAACGATCGAATTTTTTTTATATATAAAAAATTTTCATATGTTAAAATATCAAGATGAAAAATTAGTTGGCCTCAATTTTGTGCTGCTATAATTGAAATGTATTTTTCGGGAATAGGATAAATGTTCCCTTGATGCATGGATTAAAAATCCAAATTATTGGAGCCCATAATTTATATATTAAACATTATTTTAGTTTGAGTGGTTATTTTACATATAAAGGACTTATTTGATAATAACTATAGTCAATATAATTAAATCGTGTAATTAATCGAATTTTTTTTATTGTTTAATATCCAATCGATTTAATGAATTGTTTTATTTATGTATAATATTATTTTACGGAAGATTTTGCGATTAAAAATAAAAGAGAAAAAATGAGAAAAAAATTTAATGGAGCCAAACACAAGTTGAGCCACAGTACAATATTTTTGACACTTAAATTGGGTTGAGATTTTTATTTAATCACCCAATTTTGATATATTTGAATCTAATCCTCCAAAATTTATATACATCTAAAATATTCAATATCGTCAAATAAGTTAATCGATATCTTTTTGACCGAGTATTAAATTTTTTCAACATTGTGTTAAGTTTTACATTGATTTATCGAAACTACTTTTAGGAAATAAATAATATACATGATTTAATATACTCTGTGTCACGTTATATAAGGGTAAAATAGATTTGTATAAAAAAATATATCAATCACCAATGAAAAAATAAAAAAATTATATTGAGAAAATTGTCAAGAAAAAATAATAAACATTAATAAAATAATTGATTTTTTTAAATAAAAAAGGACAAGTTATACGCATTTTTAATACACACATTTAATGTACATTTAACTATTTTCGATATTCATTTAGATCATTCAATGTATATATTATATGGTTCTCGAAATGAACTTCGAGAGAATATAGAAGATTTATAAAAATTTATGATAGATTTTTATATAAAAAAAACTAAATAAATCACTTAGTGAAAAAAAAATTTTCACACTGAGCATCATCTCAAAAAAAATATTAATAAATAAATGTCTGACGGAGCATTTGCTCGTGATTCACAGAGCAAATTGCTCCTGGGTGCCAGGAACAACTCCTGGCACAGCAAAATTGCTTCGCGCATCACAGAGCTCTATTGGTTTTTTTTTTTTTTTTTTGCCAAATTTTTTTTCACTAAGTAATTTATTTAGTTTTTTTTTCAAAATTTACCATAAATCTTCTATATTCTCTCGAAACTCATTTTGAGAATTATATCATAAACACATCGAATGATTTAAATGAATATCGAAAATAGTTAAACGTACATAAAACATGTGTATTAAAAAATGTATATAATTTGTCTTTTTTCTTAAAAAATCAATTATTTTATTAATATTTATTATTTTTTCGCGACAATAAATTTTGACGTCATTTAGAAAATTTATTAATAAACTTTTAAATTTTTTTAATGTCAAAAGAGACATCATTAAAAAAAATTAAAAATTTCGATACCAAGCTAACTTTATAAATTCATCGACGATTATACGGTAGTTGAATGCATAAATCTTCTACGTTCTCTCGAAACTCATTTCGAGAACTATGTCATAAACACATTGAATGATCTAAATGAATATCGAAAATAATTAAACATACATGAAACGTGTGTTAAAAAATGCCTATAACTCATCTTTCTTCTTTAAAAAAAATCAATTATTTATTAATGCTTATTATTTTTTCGCGACAATTTTTAAAAAATATATATTATGTGATATGACGTCAACTATTATTATTATTTTTTTTTTGATGTAAAAATTCAAATTAGGCAAAATAACAGCACCACACACGCGTAATAAGATCATTAGTAGTGATTTCAAGAGTGAAGTGAGATATTATGAAATATTCAAGGGTAAAATAGGAAAACACAGAATACGTCTTGAATGAATAGTTCTCGTCACATTCCCCCTTTTATTGTAGTAGGGAAAAAAAATTAGTAACTTTTGAGGTCACCTTTTTTTATTATTTGACTACATATTTGCTCTACCTTCTCTTGTACGTGTTACGTAGCAAGACTCTCCATCCTTTTATATAATTTTTTTTCAACTTTCGAGACATTTGGCTACATTTTTGCGTATCTTCTCTTGTACATGTCACGAAGCAAGTGTTTAAAGTACGTATACTTTCTTTCAATCACTTGAGACCCACCGGTGAGAGAGGTCGGTCAAAATTTCCGCTAAAAACTCTTCACACAAAGACCAACAATGGAAAAGATGACGGAAATATTCATATTGCCCTTTTAAGGTAGTAGTGACATACGGGTGGAGAATCCAAGCCTCCAACATTTCTTGGTAATGTTTGAAAACCAGTCGTGCTGTGTCACACAAAGACCAACAATGGAAAAGATGACGGAAATATTCATATTGCCCTTTTTTTCCATAGTTGGCCTCTTTATTGAACAGTCCATTTAAGGGTACGATGAGAAAGGAAAATACGTCTCGAATGAACAGTACTCGGAGGATTCGCTCTTTTAAGGTAGTAGTGACATACGGGTGGAGAATCCAAGCCTCCAACATTTCTTGGTAATGTTTGAAAACCAGTCGTGCTGTGTTTTGACTTTAAAAAAATAAAAAATAAAAAATAAAATAAATAAATAAATAAATCAATATACTAGTTTGAATCAGTTTTAAAGATTTAGATCAACTGATATGTGCAAAAGAGTGTATATACAACTGCGTTCAAGACCTTCCCATATAAGCCAATTTTAAGACTAAAATCTATATTCAATGTGTTTGTGAATAGTACCATGTAAGCGCATTTTTCTTGAAGTACCATGAACACATCGAACAGCCACACTTTCATTATAAAACTGGCTTCATTTTCATAGTCACTCAACTTACAAAATGGATCACCGTAGACAACATTTTGAATGCAAAATTGTGAACCCTCACCCCCAAACAAAATACGCGCATCCCAATCCTCAGAATCACAAAAAAAAAGTTTCAAAATCCTGTAACAAAATGTCAGCAATAGCACACAAGAGAAAGGCTTTTAATTACATAGCATGCATTTAGAACAAACGTGACAGCATAGGTAGCATCAACAAAACAAAACAGAAAATGGCTAGAACAAGAAAAATATCGATACTATCATATTGAGTAACTGGAGATAACATCTCTTTATGTGCCGATTACACCAAAAGGCGCCAAAAATTCACAAAACAACACAAATAACAGTAATATAGCTCCCGACTAACATCCTAAAGATAGTAACCAAATCATACCCTGCAGAATTTGGTCATCAGGTGCTGCAAACCTCACAACTTCCTTCCCCGCAGCAAATGTGGAGTGTTGCTGAAAAAAGAATGTATCTGCTCTGCCTACAATCATCTCTTCGAGGTATTATACACGAAAGCCATTTCGTGATAGGTATGCTTCTCTTCCATTAGACACACTAGTCTCCATAGACAGAATTAAACTATCAAAAGAGAGTGACAAATTAGAGTCCTAGTACTAATTCAACACGTTTTAAACTGATAAAATTCAATGAACTGATCGTCAAACGAGGTACCTTGGTCACAAGGGAGTCTTTATAGAATAATTGGTAAACCAGATGATAAAGAGATTAGGAAAAGAACTACAGCTCATACCTTCGTTGCCCAAGAGAGAGGAATGTCAATCCCCACAGCTCCATGAAAACCTTATTGACACCGTGTATTTGTTATCCAATTTTGGCCTCTCCATTGACGACTGCACTTTCACTTTTGATGGAAATGTTGACTGCAGGTTTATTACTGCTCTTTTTTGGCCTACCTTTGTTAGTTGCAGGGACATCCTTTGGGGGAATTACTGATTTCTTGACAAACTTATCTTCCGTGGGTGCATCGGCCTCTGCTGACTTACTCTTGGATGGACTTGTAAGTTCAATAGTTGAATTTTTCTCCTCTCTTGGTTCAGCATTTTCAACTGTTGTAGCATCCTTTGAACCGCTTGAAGTTTTTTTCTGCTTACCTTTCTCAAGAGCTTTTTGTGAAATCGTTCCTTCCTTGACAAGGTAACCTGTACGTTCCTTAATGTTCTGCTTCTCTGGGGTGGGATCTGGCAGTAATGCACGATGGCTTAACCGAAGTTGCCCTTTCTCATTGATCTGTATAGCATATGCTCATGTTGTCAAGGATAGTTTTCTATAAACAGGAGGGAAAACACAATTTATAGAAGGCTATTGGGTGTAATTCATTAAAGTAAACAATAAAATCTAGTAATCTACTACAGGTGGCAAACAAACTTCCATTCTCGAGGCCCTTTGGGGGGGGGGGGGGGTTTGAAATTTGTGAGATGCTTGTGCAGCTTTCACAAAGCTTTGGTAAATAATAATCCCAGGTTACGTCTTCCTATATCCTCAATAAATATTTCAGTCATTATGTTTCCTACACAAACAAACATTTGTACACCATAATACATGGCACTGTTTTCTTGAAAATATGTAACATGCTTAACTATCAGTCCTGACGGTGAAGCAGAACAATGGTCCCTAGGAGCTAACAAATATAGCAGCAAATTTCTGACACGAAAAAATTGAATAACATTGATGCATTTGCAACTTAAAAGGGAGAGAAAGCTCCAAACCTCAATCAGCTTAACATCGATGCGATCCCCGACTTTGAAAACCTATAAATATGTAGTAATAAGTCATTACATCACGGTCTTCATAAATTTAGTTATTGAACCAGGCCCAAAATACTTACGTCTTCTGCCTTTGCTAGCCAATTTGTGCTCAACTCACTAATATGGCATAGTCCCTGCAGTGTAGTTGAAAGCATGATAAATTAGACACATTCCTTTTTCCCACCATCTTAAGTAACATATTGTTAAACAGCGGCAATACAGAAAATTTGTCAAAGATCGTTCCAAAAAACAAATTTTAATGGTACGAAGTATATGGCATAGATGCTTTAAGAATTAGGAATATATACCTCTCGGCCAGGAGATATTTCGATAAATACTCCATAAGGAGCAATGGATTTGATCTCGCAATTCCTGAATGTGAAAACACGGTCAGACGTAATTCTAGTTAATCAGTAGATTAAGATAAATTGAAGTACACCAGCAAAGCAAAAGAAATACAGAAGTATATAAAGATTAGTTTCTGCAATTCACAACCAAGAAAACATCAATGGCTCGAGATTCTTTGGCATTGGAAATTCAGCTGATGAAGCTATGCAGCAATAACCAAATCTACCACTCTAACCAATGATTCCTTGTAAAGCAATGTATGTATAAACCAAAAAAATTACAAAAAGTCAGAAGAGGACCTATAAATGTCGCCAACAGTTGGAACCATTGTCAGGTTACTAATAATTGCTTTAGACTTTTCCAAGCTTGATAAATCTTTCGCTGTTATTTTCACCTGCAACAGCCGCATGATAGATTACACCATTGCAATAGGAACTGGTAATTGCAGAAAATAGAAGATTAAGTTCTATTCTCAGCCTACAATTCCATCATCTTGAGTTTCAATCGATTCAACGCCAGTCTCTTCAATAATGCTCTTCACTTTCTTCCCACCAGAACCTATGATGAGGTTAATTTTATCTGGTTTGACCTATAGTACCAAAAAAGCATTTTTTAGTAAAAATGGTCGTCCAGTCACCATATCATCAAATAAAGTGGACATATAAAGAACGACAAACCTTCATGACATGGATGAGAGGAGCATACTTCGAGAGCCTCTTCAAAGGAGGAGGGTAACATTTGGACATCTCAGCTAAAAAAGAGAATCGAAAAGAAGGAATTCTAAGACAGGAGACAGATGGATACTAGTTAAGAACCTTGATACATATACTGATTACTAATAAAAATATGTTCATCTACTTATCATTTTTATTCTCCATTAAAACCGTGGCAGACAACTGATAAGCGGAAAACAGTCCACATGCAGCAGAGATTTAACAGAAATATGGTCTGGATGTGCAAAATTAACTAAGTTTTACTATTAGTCATTCTGCACGCTCTAGGTCAACAAGGCCAATATGCTGAATAAAACAAAACAATCACACACTTCACTCTCAGAACCACTGGTACAAATATTGTCACATATATGTAAATCACGAATAACAGTGTGTGTTATTCACAGGTTATCAGTTTGGAAAAAAAAAAATTACACCAAGACACTTTTTACAGCCATATATTTGAAAATATCACTGACCTGTCAAAAAATTATCATGAGATGGCAACTAGCGAAGATACAATGTGAAGTATCAAGTGTAAATCGTATTAATTCTTGCAGTGGATCAAATTTTACATCTAAATATAATAAAAAGATATCTAAAAATAATCATGAGATGGCAACTAGCGAAGATCCGATGTGAAGTATCAAGTGTAAATTGTATTAATTCTTGCAGTGGATCAAATTTTACCTCTAAATATAATAAAAAGACATCAACGACAAACCACAAATCTGTAACATATCTCGATGCCGAAGCGCTTTGGAAATTGACATTGTCCCCAAAAGTTTTAAATAAGTATGGTAAGTGCACTCATTGAATTAATTGAAGAATAGAAGTTAAAATCCCATGTCCAAGACAAGTTTATGGCACTTATATGTCCCAAGTACTCAGTAATATCTAAAAAATGTAATTGCAAGTATAATTAGTTCTATAAAACAAAAAAATAACCAACCTAGTCTTTTTAGGGTCTCAACAAATAGTGAAGAAAATCCTTTTGAAGCAAATAAACAAGTGCTACTGGAGAAAGCAAAGCTTTCCTTCATAAATATTTTAACAATTTCTTTTAACAATTTTACTTATTCTTGGCTAGGGGTGGATCAGGAGGTTCTTTCAATTTTACGTTTATTTTCCTAAGGAGAGAGAGGATAATTGTTTCCAGTTTGATTTCCCGTGAACTTTCGTGCCTATCAGCTCACAAACCCTAATGCATTATGCTTGGCAATGCATGCTCGTAAACTTACCAAGAATATGCTTTCGACCTTCTCTTGCTTGCAGAAGTGCTTGCTTCATAACTGGTAAAGTAATTCCCCCTACCTGCCATGGAAAGAATTAGAGATCTTGAAAGTTGTTAAACCAGGCGTATTACAATAACAACATCAGCAGAGATAATGCACAAGTCAGAACCACTGCAAGGGAAAACGGAATCATGTCCAAGTACATGCACATTTAGCCACTCAGATTAGAGAAGCAAACACTACTAATAATGGAAGATTCAACCTTTATATCCATCTGGAATGCAGTTATACCATCATCATTTCCAGCAACCTGCAGCATCAAATTGTTGACTCAGTATGATTCTTTTAGCCTTTTCGAGTTGTGCACAGAAATTATTTATTAGTTCTTTGTTATCTTGATCAGAGAAATAAAGAAAAGCGAACACAGCCTTTTTAATCAGCCAGAAAGTTAAGTCAAAACGAGTAATGAACACAATAGATCCCAGGACATAGTTGATTCCAAGACCTTAAAATCCATATCTCCTGATGCATCTTCAGACCCCGTTATATCTGACATAATAAGCGGAGTTCCATCTCCCCCAAATTCCTGTGTGTCCAAAACCATACCCATTGCAATACCGGCAATTGAAGACCTCACTGGAACGCCAGCATCTTGCAATGCTAAGCACCCCCCACACACTGAAGCCATACTGTCACAGGGAAATAATATATATAAATAATCTAGAGTTCATTATAGGTCACAAATGGTTGACAACGTATTTACTAGGTGAAAAATATATGCAGAGAAACTTGAAAAGGATCTCTGAACTTTAAGCTTTCTTACCCCTATAACCAGAGAAAATAAGTTCAAGAGTACTAACAGCATGTCAAAAAGAACAGATATATAAATACCCAGTAACTGATCTGAACCAATGACAAGTTGTTCACCTTGATGAGCCATTGCTTTCTGTGATGGTACTCTCAACGCGTACAGTATAGGGGAACTCATCTTCAGAAGGCAATATAGGTTCCAGCGCTCTCTCTGCAAGCATTCCGTGACCAATTTCTCTTCTAGATGGTGCTCCTGCACGCCCAACTTCTCCAACACAAGACGGGGGAAACGAGTACTGCATGCATGGCCAAAAAAAAAAAAAGTAAAGAAAGGATTGTTAAACTTCTTGAAATGATCATGACCTTAATTCTGCAAATCAGCAAACTAATCAGACAATAAGACAGGACTGAGATATAGTTAACAATAAAATCATATTAGGTTAAAAATCAAATTACAAGGTACAGAACTCAGACCTGCTACATGTGGTTCTGCAGTTAAATAAAGATGTGAACCTGGTGATATACGAAGAGCAGCTATATTTTCAGTCAATGCATAGTAGCAAAAAAGCGCATTCCTTTACCATGAAGGATATAAATTGTTTGAATGTATGTGTTTATTCAAAGTAAGCATGTATGTATATATTTTGCACAGTACAAGTGCCAAGTGCAGGAAGACAGTAGTAGCAAGGAAATGAGAAGGGTGAAATAAATTCTAACAAGATAAATCGATAAAGGTTAAATCTGCCTTATAGTTAAAGGATTACTAAAAGCAATTGTTGAACCATTAGCGTGCAGATGAACTTGAGGTTTTATCACCATAGCCCATTTCAAAAAGATCTCATGATCAGAAAGCTTATAAGCAGGCAGCTGCTGTATTATTTTAATTATATTTAATATGTCTAAAAAACACAGTGTATCTTACCAACAGTCAGCAGAATTGAGTGTTGGTTATAGTGTGTTTTCTGCAGAATTATTTCCCTCTCCGACTAGTATAAAATGGCACTTAGATATGCAAATTAGAGTGATTTGGACTAGCTAGAGTCAACAGATATGGCTAACAAATTAGTTATAAAGTGGATGGAAAATCGAAAGGTTGCCAAGGGTTCACTAGAAACGAGTAAATTGTTGGCCAGTTTCACAGGCAAGTTACATTTAAAGGTTTTAGCTCTGAACGGATACAGTAACAGGAAAAACAAGGTACTCTGACAGAGAGAGCATAATTTTCTTGAGACATTGCAGATTATTAAACATTCTTGAAGATCATATCCATGCCACAGTTTCAACAATGAAATTATGCGTACCTACAAAACTCTCACCTGAAGATAAAATCTCTTGAACTCATCCTCATCCACAAGGTTGTCTAATCTCTGTGCCATTTGTTTATCACCGAGTGTCACAACTGCTAACGACTGTAAAATGAGAGAGTCGTAGCAGGAAACAAACATAAAAGGATTATAAGCATCAGGTGTGAAGAAGCAACTAACGGAGTGGAGTATAAGTTCAAATCAAGTTTCAATCAGAATAATAAGATCAGTACACCTTCATTTTTACTATTTGTGAATGAAAGAGGTTTGTTTGTAGCTATCTACATTCAATGAAAATTGATGATGATAAAAATACAAATAAATAAGCTCATAAACTATCTCATGGCTTAAACTTTTAGAAAATGTTGTTCAGCATGGTACCAGAGCACGCAAAGCGTGCATTCTAGTCTTGTTTCTAGCAGTTAGGAGGTTTAAAGTGCAAAAGGAACCTCCATATAATTACCCATAAATTAGATTAGTTTTGAGGAAAAAGAGGGCTGAAAGATTATATGTGCTATACAGACGAATTAGATTGCTCAGATTTTATTAATGTAAAAAATCGTTACATTGTTTTCCAACATCATTTAGAAATACTATCATAATGACCATGTGCCTGTTAATAGAAAAGTTGAGAGAAAAATATGCGTGACTTGGCTAAAAGAGAATGGGAAGAAAAAAGGTGAATAACTGGAAGATAAAACTAAGACATATCCATGATTTTCCCTTAAGAGGCTATCAAGACTACATTTCAGACAAAAAAAAATTACCCAGAGACAGATGACTGCATTAAGGGCATAAACAAAATAGTCCAGAACATTACTGAAAATCACAGGAAGACATGCAAATTGAGTAATTTAGGAAGTTTTAGCAATGAACATATGTCACCAGACCTGTGTTTCACCACGTGTAAAAAGAGCACTCCCATGTGCTCGAGGAAGTAGTCTGCAGCGCGAATTAATTGGCCGTAATTCCTCAAAAGTTCTGCCATCACTTCTTTTTCCTCCCTGCATAAAGGGAAATAATACAAAAGAACTAAGCTAAATATTAGACAAAATGAATTATATCAACAATAACCTAGCTGATGTACTAGATGTGGTTTCAACTCTTTTATCACAGAAATAACACTCCAAAAACCACGATTCTCCATGGTGGTGGGAGTAACACCTCATGGGAAAAATAATATAAAGGGTTAAATGATAAACAATTATTTATTTATTTTGTTTTTGTGGGGGGAGGGGGGGGGGGGGGGGGGGTGCTCTCATATTTTTGAATGAATTCACTATATTGTATTCATATGTATGCATACTGGAACAAATTTGCTACATGGTTATAAGAAAGTGGATTTGAATTTTTCTTACTTGCATGCACGTTCGACCTTAAATTTTAAACATTAGATTTCATTTTTTTTTTATAGAAAAAAAAAAATTATGTTATTACTTTCATTATGGT